TCAGGTTGGAGGGCACTCAAAATATGACTGGGGAAGATCTGCCTCCTCAAAGAAGAGTGGACTGTGATGACACGAATGGAATGAAGCTTTTGGTACCTTTATTTCATGATTGGGCACAACTCAAAATGAACAGAAACAACCGTAAACATCTATCAATAATCAGAACATGGACTGTATGAAGTATGAATCTAGGAAAATTGAAATTGTCAAATTTGAAATGGAACACATAAACATCATATTCCAGGAATTACCGAGCTGAAATGTTCAGATATTGGCCATTTTGAATCTGACAATCACATGTTTTACTATGAAGAGAATGACAAATTGAAGAAGAATTCATCAAAAAGAACATATCAAGAACTGTCGAAGTACAACACTGTCTGTGATAGGCTAATACCCATACACCTACCAGGAAGACCTGGTAGTGTAGTGGTTACGAATCGGGCTGCGAACCTCAAGGTCAGCAGTTCGAAACTACCAGCTGCTCCGTGGGAGAAAGATGAGGCTTTCTGCTCCTGTAAAGATTTACAGCCTCGGAAACCCTGTTCAGGGTCGCTATGGGTCGGAACCGACTCGACGGCACTTAACAACAACAACCAGGAAGACCAGTTAATACCACTATTTTTCAAATTTAAACACCAACCACTAAAGTCAGTGATGATGAAATTGAAGGATTCTACCAACTTCTTGAGTTTGAAATTGATCAAACATGAAGTCAAAATGTGTTGATAATTACTGGCATTTGGAATGCAAAGGTTGAAAACAAAGAGGAAGAATCTATAGTAGGAAATTATGGCCTTGGTGATAGAAACAATGCTGGAGATTGCATGATAGAATTTTGCAAGACCAATGACTTCTTCATTTCAATTGCCTTTGTAAACAACATGAAAAACACCTATATACATGGACCTCACCAGATGGAACACATAGCAATCAAATTGACTACACTTGTGGAAGGAGTCCTGGTGGGCTGCTATAGGATGAGCATTGGACTGCTAACTACAAGATCATTGGTTCAAACCTACCAGCTGCTCTTCAGCAACCCTATTATATTGGGTCACTGTGAGAAGTGACTCAACAGGATATGTCAACAACCACCTTATAAATCTATCAATTCTACTTCTAGATATATATCCTTCAAAAATGCATGCAAATGTGCACCAAAATACATGTTCAAGAATATTCACAGTAATCTGCTCTTTAACAATGAAACTGAATGAGCTACTGGTAGATACAAAAAGGAACTCTGGCACTGTAGTGGTTATGAGTTGGGCTGTTAATTTCAAGGTCAGTAGTTCAAAACTACCAGTGGTTCCATGGCAGAAAGATGAGGCTTTCTGCTCTCATAAAGATTTGTAGCCTCATATACCCTATACAGGGTCACTATGGTTTGGAACCAACTCCACAGCACACTGCAACCACCACATCTGTGGAAAGACATGGTGAAAAATTCCAAATAAAGGACTTCACACAGGAAAGAAACAAAAAGCCATTAAGAAGACAAGAAGGGGGATGGGGCTTAACGCTGGATTAGGGAAAAGCGCCACGAAGACATTTTACAGTAATAACACAGAATACCAGATGAATCAGGTTCAGGGGACAGTGCAGGCTTCTGAAACACATATAAAGGAATACTTAGAAGGATTGAAATCTTACTGTTAGTTGAATTTGTAGCAGAAGCAAGAAAGTTGGTGTTTTTTAATTTGCAGTTGCTGGCGGGTCCTGGAGCGGCCATCTTGGGTGTGACAGAGTGGGTGTAAAATCAGAGGAACACTACTACCCCAGAGGTCTGATTTATCATTGGACATAAAGGTGTGAATATTTTTCTTTGTTCATTTGTCTGTTGCTGTCTGCACACCAATGTGTGACTAGAAGGGTAGCAGATTGAGTGGACACCACTCCTCCCCTGGAGGTACACAGATCTGCTCACAAAGACCACTGGGTCCAGAATTGAGAAACAGGAAAGAGTCAACAGAAACTGCTTAAAACAGTCTCCCAGAATGGCTAGAGCCAGCTGAGAGAGGAGTATTAAATTCATACTCA